TACTGTTCGATTAACTGTGAGTTTTCGGTAGCATAAAACCGACAATTTTGTTTACTTACGCCTCCATGTAACGAAAAATGTGCCTCGTCGGACATGATGGTTTTTCGCCAAAAGTCGTCTTCATTTTTGGCCATTTCAATGCTCCATTTAGCAAAATCAAAGCGACACGGATAATCAGCTGGGTTTAATTGATGAGCCATTTGAATTTTGTATGGAAACATCTTCAAATCCTTACGAATTATGCGTCGGAGAGTGGTTCAAGCGATGTCCAACTCTTGAGAACGATGACAACCGGATGTTGATGGAGTCTCTTGAACACTGGCTCGTACGGCTTCGATATTTTCATCGGAACGTCTTGTTCATTGTTTGGACAGGCGACTGGTATTACTAAGACTACCGGTGTTTACAAATTTTGCGTATAAACGTCTGATAGTGTTATCAGCTGGAGCACTTTTAACTCTAATTTTTTTACGAAACGCACGTTTTCACGATTGAGAAGTTATTTTGAATGTACAACTAAATATTTTCAGCGGGTTGTTTTGGTGTATACTGTTCCATGGTTAAAATTGTACTGAAATGACGCTTCCAACACGGTTTAACATTAGTCGGTCTGACAACTAATGTCAAAGATATAGGGTTGCTTGATGGTTTCACTTTAAATGGCCCACCTTGTTCAATACATTCGGTTTTTCCTCCATTGCCCTCTTTGCTCTAACGATGGCTGTGTTTTGCTGTTTGGATTCATTTAGCAGGCCCCATTTGCGTATTATAACATCGTTTGTCCTGCAATGTTTTGTACCGGCAGATCAGCAACGCATAGGTTCCACATGTAGGGTCCGAGGATAGATCCTTGTAGTACCGTAGCGTTGGTGGTATATTTTTCTTTTGGCATGATTGTTTTTGACTTGTATGTCTGTGTGTTATAGAAAGGGTGTACATCACTCATTAGTCACGTATAAGAACCGAAGCTAATTCGCAAGTTATACTTAAAATATTAATTCGGCTTCTCTAGTTTGCGAAGAGATAAAGTAACAGATGACACATCAGATGTGCTGAGAATAATGAATATAGGATAGAAGATTTGGCTGGTATCCGCAACGAGGAAGTAAGCTTGTTTATGTTGGATTAAGCAATTTGCATTTACATCGCTGCGGCAGGGGGCATGGTAAGGATGGCTCGCTCGGACTGTATTAGGCCTAATTTATGTAAACGCCATCATTGTACGACTCAACTGAGGGTGGGAGTTGGGGTTGCAATGCCGAATGGCGAGTCATTCGTTCTCGATTGCTCAGTGATTAGCAATAATGGTAATGGCAGTGAATGCAAATTGTCTCTTCGCGGTCCATCCGACGACAGGGTTGGAACGATTCTATTTCTCTGATGGTTTTATTGGATGGGCCATTCATACGATACTATGAATGTCATAATCAAAGTATGACCTTCAGTTTGTTAAAAAGTCAAGAAACAATTGTTCTCCAACTAGCTGTCTGCCCTGCGGAACGTGCAACTAACCAAACTTGCAAGTAGGCTGTCATTTTACTAATACCATCAAAAACACAAAACGTGATCGGCACGGATATTACGTATCTTGAAAAGTGACATTATGTCGATTTTTTTTTTGACTTTGTATTGGTTTTTTGTGACATTATGTAGGTTTCTCTACACGATGTAAACTTAGCACTAATGGACACGTTTTGTAGTTGTACGTGCTGCCTAAACGTGATAATGCTTCAGTTATCAATGATGTAAAATCTGCTTCGGAGATAGCATTACTGGAGATCTAAGCTAGAAGGGCACTGAAATACATAGGTGCAGTGAGGATTTGTGTGCTAATAATATGTGTTTTAAAATTCCATTGAATTCTTGTCTCAACTACACCTACTTGAGATTCAAAGCTTGCTGAATTTCAAAAATGAGACAGATATCAAATAGTTATATTCGCTGTACACTGTCGAATTACAAGTCTGTACATGCTAACAGTAATTACACACAACGCGGGCGCGGTGGTGATTTTCCGTAATTCTCCTCAAGTTTTTTAAAACACAAACAAAAGTAAAAAACCGTAAATAACTTTGAACATAACCTGTCTTCAGAAAGGACAACATATAAATAACCCGTCGGGCACAGCTAAAATACATATACGTCATTGATTTTCTCACATAACAAATATCACTGATTTTATACACATGCAGACTAATACACATAATCATCTATCTTGCTATTCAACCAACTTTCTTCTCAGAGATGAAAACTCAGACTAATTATATGCAACCAACAGTGCGTGTAGTTGAGTCATTCCTCCATAGATGGACGCTCACAATGATCCTAGTGAACAAACGTGGAATGACTTTTTGCATCCTAGAAACTACCTAGTCTGCAACATGACATTTTATAGGTTTTTTTGGACGATTTATAGGGTTTTTACATAATACCCGTGCCGAAGTTTCAAGCATACTTAAAACAATATTTTTACGGTAAACGTACGAAGGCGCAGGTAACACTTAATTCAAAATAAAACGTATGTATCGTTTGACCTTGGCGGTTTCAGGTTGAATGGGACAAAGACAGGCCGCTCTGATGCCAGCTTGTCGCTGACGCTCGAGATTTTGGTACCTGCCGTGACAATTGACTGAAAAACCGACAATGAGTTTCGCGGATGAAACCAATTAGAAAATGGACAACTTTTCACCGCCCTGTATTGTGCATATATGTATAGATAGAAAAATAAAACGTATGTTTCGTTTGACGGTCACACTTGCCTCGAGAATTGATTGAAAAACGCAGATAAAATCATGGCTGTAACCTTCCTCGGGTATCAATTAGGAAGTATGCAAATGTTTACATTTACATATATATATAGAGATATGTAGATATAAACTTGATACATCATTATAAAGTTTAAAAAATTGGTATATTTTACTACGTAACCCCTATTCCAGCTGATGCATTTTTGTAAACGCTGTGGCAGCTTACGTTTGCCCATGTGTACTAGATTCCCATTTTTCCTCCGGCGCAATCTATCTTCCAAGAGAAAGTACGCCCCTGCTTACCTTAGGGATGCCATCAAGAGACCGTTCCGGCTATCGCGGGAGTCTGTAAGAAAACGGCCAGGGATGCCGAATGAACTGGCCCGACTTTATGGGGCCCATGGGATATGGCAGGGCAACACCTTTCACTCACCAGCTACGCTAAGAGCACTCTAACATGGTAAAAATCATATGGGGATTACGTCCCGGATCCGGGAAGTGTGCGGATTCGTCGGACAGAATTAGTTTTTTTTTTGCTGGGTTACGTTGTACAATGTGAACCTGAAAGTTGGGCTATACGTAGGACATGGGTTTGCTGCGAGCGACAAAAAAAGGTAAACACCGGCGTCTGTTTATTAGAATTTTTTATATATCGATTATCTTGCCATGAATAACAAGTGTTAAAATGGTCAGGTTTTTGTGGTGGCTGCGGGTATTGCTTGATGGTAAAGAAGCATTCAGTTTTCGTACTTTTACGGTGACAGTTAAATGTTAAATTTCGGGTGGCTTATTGAGGAGCCTTTTTGTGATTGCTCAAAATGCCTACAGTGCGTAGAATTCGCCGGGTGTGCCAGCTAAGTGACTTTGAGAGGGGTCGACTTGTCGGGTTGCGAGAAGCTGATCTATCGATAAGAGAAATTTCTAGGAGGACCAACAGATTCTTACGCAGTATACTGCAGTGTGAACAAGCGTGAGCTCAGGAAGGCCGAGGACAGCGAGCGAAGTTCTGGACATCCCAGAGGGACCACAGAGCGACAAGACTTCTGGCTCTGAGAGACGGATTCAGTAGTACTCGAGCCATCGCTAAATCAGTGGTTTGAAGAGCCTGGAAGGACGGTTGGTATGCGTACGGTATATCGCCGAATACGACAGTTTGGTCTTTTTTCTTATCGCCCATCCAAAACCGCATGTTGCCAGAGCATCCTTAGCCTTCATGGATCAACATCGCATCAACCGTTTAGCTTGGCCACCATGATCGCCTGACCTATTTCTAATTGAACATGTCTGGGACATGATAGGTTGCAGGCTCTTGAATTTGTAACACCCTCCACAGACTTTAGCAGCTCTTACTCACGAAGTTACAGTAGCCTGGAATGAGGTACCCCAACAGGATATCGACCACCTTATCAGCACGATGCCCAGGCGTGTCAATGGGTGTATAAGAAATCGTGGATTCTCAACACATTATTGAACCAGTTTCTTTAATCTAAATACGCTTTTCAGAATGCGCCATAGTCACACGTGCTATACCAAGTTCGTAAATCAAATTTAAGTTTACTGGCATTAGACGCAATTTCTTAATTAATGGAAACAACCATAGTGCGTACACGTGTCCAATACTTTATTTGCTAGCTTTGGATTGCAGGAATTATGATCTCTCGATTTTTTACTTGGATCGAAAAACATAAACTGCACAGCATAAGCTTTTAGGAGCAATCATCAACGTAAATACTTATTATCATTTTATTTATCATACAATTCAGGTCACAGCTACGAACTTTGCTCATTAAAGTATTCCACGCACTGTCAAATGCGGACCTGCCGGTATTTATATTTCCATAATTTTACTCAGGTGTGACCATGTCTCGGGAATAGTTGGGAATTTTTAATAATTTGTACCCTTTCTAAATGAGCAGTTCTATTCTTTGCAGTTTTTGTACTAATAGCGTAATCTAGTTCTCCTAATGATAAAACAAACGGCTATGTTAGTCTGTTAACATCTCTTTGATAATTTAGTCCAGGGTTTCCCAACTTTTTTTTTATTGTGGCTCCCCGGACTATACATTATATTTTCATCCCCCTTTACTTTTTCAATAAATACAAAAAACGCACATTATATAGGTACAAAGACTTTTATTTTAATTCTAATAAAGAAACTTTAAAAGTTTAAATAAACTAATAAATGTTTTTTATCGAAAAATCTGAATAAAATAAGAGTAGGTACTAATGAGACATTGATTGCATGTTATGTACCAGTTGGTTGATTCTAGGTTCTATTTTTGCCAGAGATATCATCAGGTCGCTATCGACCTCAAGACGATTTCGCTGTTTAGTTTTAATTAAAACTAGAGCAGAAAAGCCTGTCTCACATGAGTAAGTTGAAGAAAAAGGAACTAGTATTCGTAAAGCAAGAGAGGAAAATGTCGAATTAACAGGCAATCTTTTGATCCAAAATTTCTCCAATGTTAAAAGATGGAGGTCATCTTTCATGGACGAATCAGCCTTCATTTCTAGAAATTCTTCGTGAACTTCTTCTGGTAATTGTGACACATCGACAACAAATCGATTTCTTGTCATGTGCCATATTGGTGACTCTGAATTGATGTCTCGATAGTATCGGAGAAATTCATCTACCAGCGCTTGCAGCTATGATATGAACCGAATATAATCATAATTGCTTATTATAGTGATGTTTCTGCCCCGAAGTTTTAAGTTTAGCTCATTCAAGGAGTCAAATATCTTAGTTAAATAACCAACCTCCATTGAAATGTCATCTTTGAACATTGTCAAGAAATCGTGTTTTTCTTTTAACTCAAGAAAAAGAATTAACTTTACTTTACTTCTGTATGGAACAGAATAAGTAAATATGACATTTAATTTCGAATTTTATGCGTGTAAATTAAACATCAAATTGTAATGTTATTTGTTAATGTTGTTTGTTTATTTTTTTGTTATTTCTTTCTAAAATGCAAACGCTTTCCGTCCCCCTTGACATCTCTCTATGCCCCCCTTGGGAGGCGCGCCCTCCTGGTTGGGAACTCCTGATTTAGTCTCTTAAACCTTAGAGCTTAGTTTTATAACTTTCTTCATCATAGCCGTATAAGTTACCCTCATAATAATATGTGAATCAATGCCTAGAGTGCTAGTTATCATTGACAATAAATGAATAATTCAGTATACGTTTTTTAGAAACTCCAGGGTGAATTTAATTCACTGTTCATTAAGTATCAAAGCATAAATCGTACGTTACTTTGAAGCATAATATATTCTTCAACAGCTGCGTACTCGTTTTTATGAAACTACTTGTTTGATTGCTGCCTTAACCTATATCTAAGAGCCGTTGCGGATCTATCTTATCTTGCAACGTAGTCCCGCAGTACGCAATACAACGATAAGCAAGTCAGATTGACATCGGCTATGAGGCATAAAACTGGCGATTTTGTATCTCTTGTTGTGATGGGAATCGATGACACCTCACGAGAAATAGGGGGTTCGAAATCCAGGATCCCCTATTACAGTTACCGTGCTATTATTTTTTAACAATTTTCGATGTGCTCCAACAACTAAAGAATGTAATAATCTAATAATCAAAAACGTTATTTGGTGGTTGCAGTACTGCAGACACTCACTACTACCTAAATCTAACTAGACATTTTAATATCAATAAAAGCTGAGGCGATACGACCGGGAATCCTTCTCGTCAACAAACATTTCATCCAGAGGGAAGAAGGGGGACACAAAATGGCCAGCTATATAGTATGCGGTTTATATATGTCAGTGATGGTGCGCACCACCCCCCACCCATGCACAGTAAAATGGATTGAAAGACAAAGTTTTACGGTTGTCCCGAGTACACGCTGATATATGCCACTGCGCTTCCTTAGTTTCTAATCGATTGACATGGAGTTGTAGCTTATACGCAACGCAGTTAATCCAAAGAATGATTAGTCAGTTCATAGAGAATGAGAACTTGATATGGCAGAACACGTCCGTCAGTGATCATGATAGCAATAGCCGCAAGAGCAACTTGCTCACATTTGAACAGAATTGAAGGTAGGCTTAATAGAAATAACTAGAATTCAAAAATCTAATAAAAAATTCAATAGTTTAACTAACACCTCTTTTGGAACAAACGAGGAGCATATTTGCAAAATGCATTTTGTCCAAATTTTCCATATTTGAGATAGAGGTGGCGCTGCATTCCTATGATGAAATACTAACTCTTTATGAACATTTGAACATTCGAAATGCATTTAGTGTTATTAGAGTGGAAATAATACCTAGACAAACAAACTGATTTAAGTCCACTTAGTTTTTTATTCGTGGATGAAACATCAAGCTGGCAGGGGAGGAGCGACCGAATTATCTTCAGCCCTGTTTGATTTTTTGAAAAAGACCAATTTTGCCCCGAATATATACACTCTTCGGTTCTTCTCTGATGGATGCAAAATAAAAATAGCTTTACCATCCACACGCTAATGTTATGGTTATACAGCTTTGCTCCAGAAACGATTAAAAAAATAGAAGCTCTTCCGAGGTGCGAGGACACTCTTATCTTCCGGCAGATATAATTTTTGGGAGGGTGGTAAAGATTTTAAGATGACGTGCGGTCATAAAAACACCTCAAAAATATTGGGAACTTTACAAACAAGCAGGTGAACTCGGAAAACTTGTAACTGATTGGTCATTGGTGAATATAAAACAAGCTTCAATCTGTTTGAAAAAACTCCTAGGAATTAGCTCAAGTAAAAGAATAATCATCAAACGATGAAAGCCCTCAGGCGTTGTGGTGAAATCGAGTATCGAAACTGTAATGATGAAGATGAAGAGCACGAAAATGACGAAGAGGCTTGTGGATGCGCTGAGAATGATAATGAATTTATTTAAAAATAGAATAGTTTACTACTAATATTATTATAATACCTACACATTTTATTTTGTTTGGTTTGATGATAATGTTTCAATATATTTTTTTTAAGTAAAACACAACTTTTTATTTTTGTTAACTTGACAGTGACACTCAAATTGCATTTTTTTCACTAGAGACAATCAAACTGCATTCTGTCCAACAATTTTTTTAATTTTTTCAAGTTGTTTTTCGACTTTCTTGCACCAAAACTTGTAATGGAGGTCCATACACCTGATAACATTATATTATCCCAAAAGTTTTTCCTGTCTTATGGTTGGTTTTTCTGTACTAGTTTTTTGCTCCTGAAAATTGGTAAAAATGGACAAAATGCAATTTGCAAGTCTGCTCCTCAAACGATCTCCTCCACTGATATTTCTCTGGATATTCTTGAAAATCATTGGACTTCACTGAATCTTCTTGAACCTTCTCAGCTTTTCTTGGAATCTGTCGCATCCCCACCCAAATTGCCTTGGTTGAATTGGCTCGGATACCTTGGATTACTAGCAATCTCCTTGGATCACCTCATATTATCTAGGATAGCCTAGAATTTCTCCTTAATCATCTCAAATCTTTTCGGCTTGCCTCCCAGTGAGATAGAAAATTTCTTTAAATTACCTTGTATCTTCTCTTACTGGGGTAGATGATCTCGTTGTGTACCTTCTGATATTCTTGAATTACCTCGTCTTTCTTTCGATTACCTACAAATTGCTTGAATTGCCTCAAAAATCTATATCTTCTTGAAATGCTTCGCATCTTCTCCCAGTGGTATAGAAAATTTCGCTAGATTGTCCCGGGTCTCAGAATTGATGTCCTTGGAGAGCCTAGGACTCTAAATTATTTCACTTCTCTTTGGATTGCTTCGAAACTTCTTGATTTACCGCGAACATCATGATCTTCTTGGATTGCCTGGGATCTCCTCCCATTGGTATATAAAATTTCATTGGATTGCCCCGGAGATCTTGTTGGAATATATCTCCTTGGATAGCGTCGGATCTCCTTGGACTCCCGTTTCGCTTTGGATTGTCTGGTAACTCCTTGAATTGATTCTGATCTCCTTGAATTGCCCCAGTTGGATTACTCAGCATTGCTTCGAAAATCCGGATCTTTTTAGAACGCTTTGGATCTCCTTCCCGTGGGATATAAGATTTGATTGGTCTGCCGCAGATCTCCTAGTAAGATTATGATCAAAACAAAATATGTAATTTAGAGTTCAATTTCAAATTGGTATCTGAGCAAGACGTATTTGACGCATTAAGTAGGATAAAAAACACCAGACCAGGAAATGATGGCATTAGCATACATCTCGTCAAATTGTGTGTCCTGTATATTTTACCATATTTGGTACATCTTATTAATACAATTTTTCTTGAGGTAAAATATTCAAAGTGCTGGAAAGTGGCCTTAATAGTGCCAATTCCAAAATGTAAGGAAGCTGAACAGCTATCAGATCTTCGTCCAATAAGTATTCTAGCTGGTCTCTCTAAATTGGTTGAAAGAATTATTGAAATACAATTAAGAACACATATTGAAAGTCAAAGTATCCTTCCTAAAACACAGTCAGGTTTTCGTTCAGGATACAGTTGCACCACTGCTCTTGCTAAAATAACTGATGATATCATTCAGTCGAATGATCTGGGTGAGTCTACCGCTTTAATACTATTAGATTTCAGCAAGGCATTTGACACAATTGACCATGATGTCTTGCTGTCTATCTTAAAGTCATGTGGATTGTCTACTGACAGCGTAAAACTTTTTAATTCATACTTAAGTGGCAGATAACAGTGTGTACAACTGAAGAATGAAATATCTAGTTCAAAGCCCACTACTACAGGTGTACCGCAAGGATCTATACTTGGACCATTGCTCTTCACTATATATACCAGTCAGATCCTTAAATGTTTGGAATTCTGTAACACGTTTATGCGGATGATACCCAGCTGTACTATTCTTTTCCTAGTTCAGATTGGCCAGCTGCCGAATTGAAAATAAACAGTGACTTGACTAACCTCTCTAAAAGATTGCAAGAGCATTCATTAATATTAAATCCAAATAAATCAGCTGCTGTGATCTTTGGTAAAGACCGGTCTTATGTGATTGAGAATTTAAATATAACCATAAATAATATTAGATTAAAATACTGTGATAAAGTTAAAAACTTAGGCTTAACAATGGATTATAATCTGAGGTTTCGTGAGCACATATCAAACTGTATCAAAAAATCTTATCTGGCTCTAAAATTATTGTATCCTCACGGAAATTTTCTTAATTTAGACATCAAAAGAATTCTTTGCCAAACCTTGGTTTTATCACAGTTTTCGTACTGTGTTCCAATTTATTCTGCATGTTTAGATTGTGATACATTCATGCGAATACAGAGAACACAGAACGCATGCATACGTTTTATATATGGCATAAGAAAATTTGAAAGAGTTAGTCATAAGCTGAAAGAACTCCGGTGGCTAAATATGAAGGCTCGTTTTGAGATATTCACAATATGCTTTTATCATAAAATTTTAACTCTCAGGCAGCCTCATTACCTCTACGAGAAAATAACATTCAGAAAAGACATCCATTCCGTAAATATTCGTTCGAAACAAAACATTACCGCTCCATTCCACAGAACTAAATTTTCTGAAAGATCATTTACGTATAATATATATAAGCTATACAATCCTATCCCCCAGTACCTCAAATCATATGAAATTCACAAGTTCAAAGCGGTTTTGCGTGATTCTTA